ATGATTGCATCAGACGATAAGTCAGATATTCCGATGGACATCTGTCGGTACTCTTCTTTTTTTTAACCCAATGCACAACACAAAGCTAATCGGCTAAGCCGATAACGTGCAGTCGTAGCTCTTCTTTAGGCCGTCCGTAACGACGCCATAGGGAAAGTTAGAAATGTACGTATGAAACAAAAAAAAACTGGTACTTAAGCAGAACATTAGGGAAGGAGCCTACCGCGCGGACCTGACCGAGGATGAGTCATTATTTAGAGGGCTGGGCAGATGTAAGCGTTTATTATGTGATGTCTGTAATTGCATACCCATATCGAAACTTTCAATAATTTCCAAACTATTTGAAGCCATCGCCAAGGAGAAAATGTATTTCGCAGCAAAAAGTCTAGTCTCACCCAATCAACATGGTTTCGTCCCCAACCGATCTACGGTTACAAATCTCGGCGTCTTTACTGAGTATTGTATTGTAGCTCTCTCGGACGGTTTCCAAGTCGACTGCATTTACACTGATCATGCTAAAGCATTTGATAGTGTTTCACATAGGTTGTTGGTCAGTAAACTAGCCTCTTTGGGTTTCCTCTCAGTATTTTTACAATGGCTCAAATCCTATTTGTCGAATAGGCGCTGCGTGGTCTCTGTTAATGGTTGTTCTTCGAATTTTTTCATAGCCTCATCGGGGGTTCCTCAAGAAAGAAGTGATTAAAAACTCGTATGATGCGCTTAGACTTCAGTCCGAGATCAATAACTTACACAGTTGCTGTCTCTGCCTTTCTCTAAATATTAAAAAATTCTTTCAAGCTACTTTTTCCAAAAGTCGCAGTATTGTTTCGACGTCTTATGCTATCTCTCAAAATAAACTTCAAAAAGTTCAAGAAATCAAAGACCTTGGTGTTATTTTCAGCTCTAATTTCTCTTTTAATAGTCATATCAGCCACATCATTTCTAAATCTTACGCTGTTCTTGGTTTTGTCAGGCGTCAGAGTTCAATGTTCTCTGACCCTTATACACTTAAATTGTTATTCACATCTTTTGTTCGTTCTAAGTTAGAATATGCTTCTTTAATTTGGAGGCCATACCATGCAAGCTTAATTAACCCTCCGTTTGAGTATTAGTCACCCGGGTGACTTTTCACTTTTGGTTTGCAAATATCTTTATGTTTTAATTTAGACAGGATGTTGGAATTTCGTGACTTTACTACGATTTTAATTAAGTTAACTTTAAGCCATATCTCAAGTTTTTAGCTCATACCTGTCCATACAGGTTTACCTGAAAATTCATTTGTAACCCTTTGTTGTAGTATTAGTCACCCGGGTGACTACGTATATAAGCACTCAATCTATGGGAACAGGACTAGGAAATGAGAGAAATGTTTTATATTTTTTTTTATTAAATATTATTTTAAAATAAAATTTGATAAGTTTTTTGATGCATACAGCAAAAAAATTTTGGAAACCATGATTCAATAACACAAGGTTATGTAATTTGTGACAGCTAAAAGCTGATACTTCTTTATCTAGATTTGTATTTTGGAAGTAGGAGAAAGGAGAAGAATGTGATCGCCTTTGGCGAAAACGGTAGTAGAAAAGTACTAAAAAAGTGCGCAAAGTATACAATTAGAAGTAAAATGTGTATTATTAATTCAATGTGAATTTGCAATATATTTGGTTTTTTAATGGAAATACTAAACAATACGTAAAGATATAGATTTTTAATTTAAGTTATTCGTCATTTCCTGGAACAAATCTAGAATACCGACCGTTCTGCTATGCAAAAACGAAAAATGCAGATTAATAGAACTTTTTACGCTCATTTCAACCATGCTAAAATTGTTTAGCGCAAGTGAAATATAAAGACGTTTTAGAAGGTTAAAGTTAAATTTTTTGATTTTTTTTTTAATATTAATATCTTATGAACCACTTAACCGATTAAAAAACTAATAACGTCACCATAAAAATAATCAATTAATCTTTCAGCTGATATACATAATGAAATTGGTTTTTATATATTTAAACCAAACCTAAGAAACGAACAAATGTTATTTTTTCATGAAATAACTTTTTTTGGAAAAAACTGCATGATTAATGGCGAGGAAATTTATATTATTTAGAAAGTACAAGCTATTATCTTTAATTCGATATAAATATTTTATCATGATCTACTCTTGGGTTTACAGAATTAAATGATAATAAAAAATATAAATAAACAAAGCAAATAAACCTCTTATATCTTCTTTGTTTTTTACCTGCGCCAAATAAATTTGGTATCCTTGAAATCAGCGCAAAAAGTTCTATCAATCGGCACTCATGGTTATTTTATAGCTAAACTGTCGCTATTCTAGACTTGTTCCAGAAAATTACACAAACGAAGGTGATGCCAACGAATATTTAGTATGAAGAATTTTTGGTTTTACTACTAGTATAACTAGAAACTGTAGAGTGAGCAACATTCCGCACAAGTAAAGGAGCCGATTTTATGTGTGGGAGCGAGAAGACTGTTTTATTACAAAACTTTCTATTATTGAATCATGGTTGGAAACATTACCAAGTATGTTGGTTACATTGCGTCGATATCTCACCAATCGAAGCACAATTTTCTCTCCAAGATACCATATTTGGTTGGCTTAGACGGGATGTATTGGCGACAGGCGATAGTTGTTTCTCAATTTTAAAGTGATGAAAGAAAATATTTGCGAGATCGGAGCTGCCTTTTCGAATTGTCTTCTGGTTTCTCAAGTTCTGGAATCATCGAAACTAATACTCTTCAAAATGGCTAAAAATCGAACCATTGGCATTTATGCACACCATCTTTGTGCATGAAGAGCCCACAAATCAATGACTCGATCAGGCTGCATCCAACTCAATCGGATCCATCGGAATCCACTCACGTTGTGGGCAATCTGGGTTGATTCTGTTGTATTCCGCTGCAAATTTTGCACCTCTTTGGTTCTTGTAGCGTATGATAAGATCTTGTATCATGTCACTGAAATGTCGCTTGTTTCGACAAACGTTTTTAGTTGATAGGTCCACCTGTAAGTATGGAAACAATGTAATAGAAAATCCGGTGTTTTGACAGAATTGACAGAATTCTAAAACGGAGTATGCCAGAAATGCTCCTATTTCAAGAGCTTTAAATGAATTCAATACAATCTCGAGTTCAATCGAACTTGATTTTTCGCTTCCAAAAACTTTATTTATTTTCTCTTTGATCTCGAAACTGTAGAGTGCCTTATGTTTTACACGTATCGTTTAAAGTACCTAATTTCTGTATCTAGTCTTTAAGGAACGTCTGTTTCATATTACTGAAATAAATTACAATATTACAATATTATATTTGCAGTATACATTACTGTACAGGAGGAGCAAAAAAAAAATACAAAACCCCAAATCACCTTAGAGATGCTATTAAACCAAAAAACTAAAAAAATACCGGAAGTGGAAATATTATCTTTTGATCAGAAACTCATCAATTGTATCACGATTGATTTTAATTGAACGAAAGCATAGATTAGGGCGCTCCAACACTGGCGACTGATCGCTTTCTCTGCCCGTAAAGAAATGCTTAACAGCGGTTCCGCGGGAGTAGGCTTGACCAGGAGTAGCCTTGGTTCAATTGATTACTTGAGGGTAGTGCGCGTTCCTTATCAGTTACATGTAAGATAAAAGTAAGCATTCTGAATTATTTCAGAATATTTCGAGGATACTTTCAAGAAATGTAATACATACCTGATTTGCGGAATTAAGGGGCTGTGGGATCGCCCCTATGTTGAAAAAATGCGGTCAACATTTTCGCTTTCTCAGAGGAAAACTTAAAAGACTCCAACTAAACTAGGCCCAAACATTAGAACATATTGATGTATATTTGGTAGTCAAACCCCAAGTGGATTTTGACTTGCTTTTATATTGACTGCATTAAAAAAATTGTAATTTTTCGTAGTTTGAATGGAATAATGGCTGTTCCTATTGGGTGTTTTTAAGAAAACAAGTAATTTTTAGCAAAAAAAAACCGACTTAAAAAAATATATATATATGTATATATATTTCATGATCCAATGATCGGATCTAAACCAAATTAGTATGGGACCACCTCTGAGACACTACCTTTCTATTGCAAAAATTATCGAAATCGGTTGATGTGGTCCAAAGTTATGCGGTAACATACATAAAAACAAAAAAAATATATATATTCCGACGAACTGATAACCTCCTCCTTTTTTGGAAGTCGGTTAAAAATAAGTCAAAGTTTTCGTTAAGTAACGAAAATTACGGCATAACAATGCACTCCAGAATCTTACGAACCAGCAGATTTTACGAACCACAATGCTTTTAGTTAACATATTTGAACAATTTATAGGCCTTATTAAAAAAACAAAATAAACTAAGTTAATTAAGTGACACTTTCTTATAAATCTTCGATTTATAAAACATTTCAAGTCTTCTTAATTATTTATGAATTTAGGGGTATGTCTTCCAAAAAAAATCATATTTATCCACCACTATAATCACACTCTGTTTCTCGGAATTCATTTAGTGATTAAACTTCCAACCCAACTCGATTAAGTAACCTCAAATGACGAATGTTTGGTCGATACGCGGGCAATTGTGTGGAATAGGTTAAATAGCTGTAGTTGCCATTTTAGGACATGAAGCGCTTAGCAGTGAAAAAATGCCAGACAACAATAAACAATAACAATGCAAACGTGCTGCATAGCGTCACAGCGAATGTTTTGTGTTGCTGTTTTCATATCCTTGCAGTTGCATTAACATTAAGGACTAGACGTGCGTCATCGCCTGGCGCTCAAACAAGTTATTTGTTAATTATTTAGACTAGCAATTTTAATTTTCTGCTGCTGCTGACATTGTACTTCCACTTAAATTGCTGCGGACGTCGCAAAGTAATTTGTTCTTTTTGGTTTATGCATTGCAATGCAAACTAAATTTTTTGCTCGTATTAGTTCGTCAATGCCAGAATAATAATTCTCTTTTTCTACTTTATGATTGCAGATAGTTAACTAGGACACACCTGTTGCCCACAGCGATTGTTCTCGTTGTTAAAATTGCCGCATTGGGCTCAACGAACACACTCATCCGATACTTGACAATAATCTTAAAGAAACATTTACAACATCAACGTCAGCTTTAAGCCTAAGAACGAACTCAAATTGAGGTTTGGGCGTACATTTCCTTACTGCCATTGCAACATCGAGTGCTCTCGTCAACTGTCAATTGTCAACCGTGATTCAACAAAATGGGTCGAAAAATCACCGTCGCCATTTCAACGCTTAATCAGTGGGCACTCGACTTTGAAGGTAATTTGGCGCGCATATTACAATCCATATTGGAAGCAAAAGATATGGGCGCCTGTTATCGTACCGGCCCAGAACTGGAAGTAACGTAAGTTTTAGCGCTAGCGCTGCTTTGGTTTGTTTTAAATAACATGGAATCTTTTGTTTCACTAGTGGCTACAGCTGCGAAGATCACTTTTTCGAGCCCGACACATATCTTCACTCGTGGGAGGTACTCTTGGAGATAATGCTCTCGCCGCTTTGGTAGGAGCCTCATTTAATAAAAAAAAAACATATATATAACACTGCTTGCTACTTTTTTAGTGAAAATATGCTTATCGATGTTGGTATGCCGGTTATGCACCGCAATGTTTCCTATAATTGCCGCGTTGCCTTTTTCAATCGCCAAATATTGCTTATTCGCCCCAAAATGGCAATGGCCGATGACGACAACTACAGAGAATCGCGCTGGTTTACTTCCTGGACGAAGGTAAGGGTTTTATTTGTCTTTGAAGTAGCAATTAAAACACGATGGGTTTCACCCAGCATTAACTTCACTCAAAACTACATAGCAATCAGGTACATATCGTCGTTTAAAGTACAAAACCGCATATCGTCGTTCTGGAAAACCGCGTAACTGACATTGGCTGCCAAAAATTGAATTTGCTCACACAAGCTCTTGGCTCAATCCTTATCCATTCGTCCTGAAATATACTAGCCCGAAATGCGATTGCCGAAATGTGAGCGTTTTTACCGTCTAGAAAATAATTTCTACAACTTCACATACGCGGTTTTGCATTTTGCTGATACGCGGTTTTGCATTTTGTTGATACGCGGTTTTGCACTTTAAACGACGATATGTATATACATACTACTTACATAGGTGCAAAAGAGAACCCAAAAATTAAATAGCAAAATGCAAAATTTGATGTAATAAAAAAATACGTATGTACATATATATGGCTTAATGACTCTTTCAGTTGTAAATCTAAATAACCAATTAATTATTATGGATCTTAAAATTTGTTGACAATAATTAAGAACTCTTAAAATTATGTTAAAGTGCAAGCTGAAAGTATCTAGGACTTAAAATTTGGCAATTTTTCGTTCTCGCATTCTCTTCCATACAAAGTATGTTCGACAAAAAAATTGTCAAAAATCAGCGGTAACTCTGTGCTACTTAAAATTTGCACTTTCCACTAAAATTGAATAGGCTTCAAAACTGCATCTCAGAAATCTAAGAAATCTAATTAAAAACTCAAAATTTTGATGAAAGTTTGACGAATTTTTGTATAAAGTTTGAAAGCTTTACTTTCATGGTTTTTGTTATATAACAAGTTACACTTTCATAAAAAATTAATAAACATTAAACAGTCGAAAGGAAAATAGCCAAATAATTCTAAAATTTCTCTTCCCTATTTATATTTTCGCCACTGTATATTTATTTAATTTCATTTAATTTCATTTATTTCAAAGAACATTAGTACAATAAAACCTAGTCTTTTTTAGTACAACAGGTTCATACAATTTACAAATTAGAAATAAAATACACACAACAATAGAATATTAAATCTAACAACAAATATCGAGAGTAATTATAATCTAGATAAATATTACAAATACAGATTGGTTCAGCAATTTGAAGAGTGGTATACAAAATAGCTTTTAATAGCTCTTGTTAAGTTTGCTTCTTACGTTAATTGGAATGGAGTACCAGATTCGTATAGCATTAATGAAAAACAGTCTTGTGGACTTGGTAAAATTGTATTGTTACAATGACTAATGTTGAAATTAAACTTATCACAACTATTTATATAAATCTAGGAAAATTTATTTTCTATTTTTTAGTCCACTTATAAAACACTAGCTGACCCGGCGAACTTCGTCCCGCACAAGATTAATTTTTTGTATTGAAACAGTTTGGTCCAACATTTTCAGCAACAGTTCAAGTTCATGATTTTCAGTGACGCATTTATCTTCTAATATTACGGTTTGGTGGTTGTCAGAAGGCATATTTCCATTGCTATCTTAAATAACCCAGCAGAAGTGTATATGCATACAAAGATACGTAATAGCTTCATTGCGTTTGAAAGGCGTCACGCCGCCTTATAAAATAGCCGCAATTTTCTCTAAAATTATGGGATTGATTTAATATATCTCCATACCTTGTTCGAGTACTCTACCATGAACACTTACAGAGATATGCAGTATGAAAAATTCGGTTTGTATGGAAGGTGCCACGCCCCAATTTTTCTTCATGACTAATCGATTGATTTTATATGTCTTGTACATACCAAGTCCCAGTACTCTACCATAAACAGTTGCTGAGATATAAAGTGTGAAAAATTTAGTTTGTATGGGAGATGCGACGCCCCCTTCACTTAGCGCTATGAAACATACTTCACAACCTATTATCATACATACCGAATATACATAAAAAATTTCATTCAAATCGGTCAAGCCCTTTTGGAGGAGTTCGACCACAAACACCTTGACACGATATTTTTATATATTATGGTGATTTCGTCTCTACCAAAAAATGTCGCCTTTTGATTGCCCCTTTCTCTTTTCTTGTTCGATTCCAAATTAAAGGCAAAGGGTGAGAAAATTGTAATGCAAAAAATTGTAAGGCAAAAAAGGCACCTTTTCCGCCCTTTGAAGCTTTTTCAGGGGAGATAGTTGCTCTGAAAATCAGATGGTTGCTTAAAACCACACTATTATGAAATGCGTGCGCTGGACTAGGACAAGAAGGTAGGATATGGACACCCTAATCGCCAAATTCCAGTACTCTATCGTGAACACTGCCAGAGGTATGCAGTATGAAAAATTCGGTTTTTATGGGAGTTGCCACGCCCCTTTTTCCAATAGCCTCAATTTTACTCCATTAGTATGCGCTTGTTTTCATATTTCTCCACAACATGTTCGAGTACTCTACCATGAACACTTCTAAAGTTCCAGTACTCTACCATGAACACTTCCAGAGATATGCAGTGTGAAAAATTCGGTTTGTACGAGAGGTGCCACGGCCCCTGCACCTAGCGGTATGAACTTCTACCGCTTAGACTTTGTTGCTTTTTCAATTTTTCCTAATAAAAACAATCGTGGTACAAAGCTCAATAAAAATATTAAAAAATAAAATGTTAATAAGCCACAATAACATTGACAAATACATAGTTTAGGAAGAGCCTGCCTGAAACTATAGAAAAAAGCAGGGACCGCAAATAACGATTATCCTTTGAAATTTCAACTCAAAAAATCACGCGGAAAGAGAAATGCTACGTGCATAAGGAGTAAACCAATATATTTCTTATTACTCGGAGTACCTTCAGCGGCACTGATTTTTATTTTTTAATTTTTACTTATAAAAATCAAGTTTAATCATTATATTTTGAGTTTTTTTTTGCTCGGAAAATAATGGTTACGTTTTAAGTTTTATTTTTTGCTCGG